ACAGTCCCATATGTTTATTGACTTACCTCTATATTTTAGATTTCCATTCCCCTCCATTTCTCATTTTCAGTCTTTTTTACCTCTCGATGCTGTCATGGCTGACTCAGTGATGTTTCTGGGAGACACTGAGGTTCATCTGCTGCAAAGTTACTTTGTCATTGTCAGTCAGGCTTGAATACCAGAGGAGCCTTGAGCTACAGTTCATGGCTTACTGAAATCATTTGCCTCAGATGAAAACGGCAAATAGTTCTCATAAAAGCCAGCAGTTTCTCCAGGAGCAACTCAAAAAAGAAAGAAAAAAAAAGGTCAGGATCAGGCATGCTTTGTGAGTATACATAAATAGGAAACTGTCCAGTTGGCAAACATGCCACCCCTTAACCTAACCCCCTAACCTTATTTGAGGTTGTCACTTACCCAATAAGAGCAGATTGTTTCATAATAAGAGGCAGTAGCTTTTAATAATTTAATATGTTTAAAGTTTGCTTTGTACATAAATGATCCTTGTCTGCAAAATGAGCTGAACAACTGCTATTCATTGCCATTCATCTTTAATCTTCACAGCCTATCCATGTTTAGATCGACAAGACTTTGGGCATTTGCTATCTAATGTCACTACTTTGTCTATGAAAAGTCTGTTGTATTTACATTTTATTGACAACAAGATTGATTGAATAAATAATCAGGAGTTTAGTAAATAATGAAAATAACTTTATGTTGCAGCTCTAATTTACAATATGAAATGTATAAGGCAAAAACTGTAGTTATTTCAATCGCAAATAAGTCTTTACTCCACCTCTATTTGCTGTTTTGACAAACAACAAGTCACCATTCTGCGTTTATTGAGTGTCTACAATAGGTGCAATATGAAAAAAGAAAAAGCCAGATGGTTAAACAAGGAAGTCAGGTTCAGGGGAGGGAAAAACACAGAAATGTCCAAAAACCTCTGTTTCAATCACACTGATCTTCATCAGGTTAACATCTCTTATTTCATTAGTTCTCTCTTAAAGGCTTTACTTTTTTGATTTTGTGTGTAAACAAAGTGGTAGCAAAAGAGAGGCATGATGTTTGTAATCCTGAGATGTAAAATAACTCAGAATTTGTCATTGTTCTTTATTTCCATCATAATCATCATCCTTCAGGCATTTTTCTGCTGCCATTCGTCTTTGGACGCCTTCAACTACTATATATTCTGATAAATTATATTATCTTTTCATGGCGAGCTCAGATGGAAGGAAAGCTATTCTAGAGTGTCCATTCGTTGTTCAACTGAAACAAAAATGAAAGCATAAAAAATGTCTGCAGTTTTGTGCAAAAGATGAAATCATTAGCCATTTACATAAATAGTGCTGACAGCTTGTTATAAAAGGTAATGAATCTGTGGAAACCAGATTGCCTGACAGAAAACACAGAATGTAAAAATGGCTTTCAGGAACAAAGCCAAAGTGAATCAACATGCCTTTCTATTGCGATGCATGCAACCTCTACAGGAGCAGGCAAAAACACTGTAAATTTACAGTATTAATAAATTACTAATAAGTATAGTGGTAGCTCTGTATGTCTCAGTATATGGTATCAGACATACAGACACTAGCATTAAAGCAGAACTGCAGCTTAAAAGTATTGCAATTACTGATTCATTTGTAGTTTTTTTTGATATCTTTGATTCTCATATTAAAAAATAATTAAAGAGCTCATATGTTGCCACTGATAACTGTTAATACAATTAAATAAAACTGATGAATGCACACAAGAAAAAATTAATTAGGCAATTTAGGCAATTATATTTTAGTATTTTGTTGTCTGGTTAAAATTTACTGGATTTTTTGGGGGGTTGGTCAAAATTGAAAACAACAAAATATGGTTAAAAAAAAAAGCTTTGTTCGTTATTCTTTGATTCTTGCTCACATTTAATGATCACACAGAGAGAAATACATCATCAGTGCATTATCATTTCCATCCACAATACAATGCAGCTGTAACAGGTTTTCTGTTCACTGAAAATTGTTTGGGCAAGTTCTTTGAAAGATGCTGGAGGTAACTCGGTAAAATACAAAAAAATCAGTAGTTGAGGTAGAAGTAGACAAGAGATAAAACCCATCTAACATACCCAGTAATGGAACACTCTGGACATCCTAGATTTACAGTATGATGTGTGCCAGTGGAAGACAAACATGTCCATCTCCATTTACTGTAAAGCCTTGTTGGGGGTTGTGCTACTGGATCCTCCCACTGTGAATCACCCTGCCAGTGTTAGTGCTGTTAGTGCTGTACTTTGTCCACTGAGCATGACATGATTATACCACATTCAGCTTTTAATCATGAAAGTGAGGACACAAGTACGCTGGATTGCACTGAGTGTAAACCTCTACCCCTGCTTGCCTGGTTAATTAGGTGGTTCATGAGTTTGGGCTTACATTAACTCCACATGGACAAAATCACCACATATGTCTTATGATGCCATTTTAATAGAAAATATATTCTCTAGTAAATAGGTGGCAGCTGGTACCAGGAGGAGGATTTTATTAACTGATAGTTAATCCAAAATTGCACTTACAATATTTCAGTGCAGGTTATAGTCTTACCATATCCATATATTGTAATTCTAGTCAGCGCTGCTTTGACAAGATTAGACAGAGAGGAATCCAGACACATTCCATACTGGACTTCCCCCACTGAAGTGCAGCTGTGCCACTGGGGACTCATCATCAGTGATGTAGAAAAATTGCTTCCAAGCTGCCTGCCTTCCTACTCCTGGGTGTACCAGTCCGCGAAATCAGTGCTAAGCACTGCCGAGCTGCCAGCAAGCATGCATTATTGATTTACATTGAACACAATTAATAAGAAATATTACACCTGTACTGCTCCTCTAGTAGGTCTTTGCATCAAAAATACAGGGTTAAATTCTATTTGAGACCACTGCTGGCTACTGTTTTTCCTTTCTAATGTGTAATAAACATGTATTAACTGCTTATAAATGCTAAATGGGGAATTAAAATGGATGCTTTTATTTTATTTCTTTCTCTACATGTCTTACCTGGGAACAAAGTAAGAGAAGAATAAGATTTTGTTTGTGTATACAACTGATCATTTGATGTAATTTGTGAAAATCTTCTCTCGTTCGATTAAAATGGGCTCTAAAATAAGGTATAAAACTGAAGACATGCAAAGGCCTTAGATTAGTTTTACTCCCAAGTATAAGTTTTTGATTTTAGTTTCACCTTGACTCTGCTTTCCCGGACAATAGACAACCACTCTGCTGACTGAGCTAATTCAGAGCGACACCACAAGATATTGTCTCTGTAAAGGGGTCCCACCTGCCTCTGCATCACAATGGTGTGTTACAGCATCTTCAGCTCCATCACTGTTATCCTGAAAAACCATGTTTTCTTAGATGCAGACAGGAGATCTGGTAGAGAAAACTGACTGGTTACATCTGCTTCAGCTTTAGTATCAGCTGGCCAGAGCGCTAATTGGTGTTCCAATTAGCAGCTCATTATTGACTGGATAGGGCATCAGCCAAAACCAAAAGGATTACCTGTGCAAGGCACTGCAGGTGTTGCAGGCTTATGAGGTTCTTTTGTTTATGTCATTTGTTCCTACTACAATTTTTTCATAAACGGTAAAAAGGACCATATACGTATGTGTTGTGCTTTACAGCATCACCATCACATTATTAAACGAAAATATTACTCCACAATAAAATGATATATAGTCTCCTGTGCTGACTCAGACATCATGAAGTAAACACCTACTGATTCTCTTCCAGTGGATACCTTAAAATGTTCTTCCACTGACTTGCTGAAAATGCACAAAATATTTCTGTTGTCAAATAAATATTGGCTAATCATTTTTAAATGCAGATCTTTCAGAAAACCTAGGTTTCAGTCAACAGAATTACGCTAAAGTGCTGATTCAGGTATTGATTATCATACTTAAAGGCCAAAGAAAATGAAAAATTGAGGACAAAATAAGCTTTCCATTTTCAGATTTTAATGTTGAAGCTACCTCTAGTGGTAGGAAAAAAGAAATGCATCAATTCACAAGTATATTGAAGGTGTATCATTTTTAGTATCATGACAAAAACTTTTATTCACAAGTCATGATTTATTTATACAGTCAGGACAAAATATTCTTCTTATACTTTGGATTTTATGTTGATGAATGTGTTGGTTACTATCATTGCTAATGCTCATTAGACTGTTCTCCTTCTCATTAACATCCAGGTTAAACACCACTTTTGTTTGCCAGGAAAAAGTTCCCAGACACTGGGTGTCAAAGGAGTAGTTCAACAAGCTCAAGGTTTTTGGCTTTCTTTTCTGAGATCGATATAGGAACTTTATTTACAAGCTACCGTCAGGAAAGGCCTAAAGACTTTTGCTCAAAAAATCCACATAGCGTCTGACCCTGTGCTGTGCTGAAGTCTGTATTCCACTGAGAAAGTAGAAGCTACTTGACTTTGCTTCCTGTCACTGATTCCCACAAAATGTTAGTTTTCATCATAGACCGTATAAAAAGATAGATGACGTGACGGTTCCCAGAAGTGCCAGAAGTGAAGCCACTGTAAGTCCATCTCCGCCTGGTAGCTGGTTGCAATATAGGTCATAAACCAATCTAATCTAATTTTTACCAAAGGTAATTTCTATCATTTTGTGGTGACTTATCATCCTGCGCACCGACTTACGTGGGAGGTGCTCAAATAGCTGTGACTATAGCAGCAGCTGACAATGTCAGTACCTATGTGGTCATTGAAACTGAAGTGATACAAACTATATTTTACTGCCAGTCCACATAGATACTGTATAGCAAACAATTAAAGTAGCAGAACCAAAGTTGTCAATCACAATCAAAAATTCATGCCTACTGAAAAAAAACCCTTCTTTTTTTAATAATTATAATTTTGACCCAATAAGGACACAGGTGAAAACTAAACACCAAGGTTTTTTTTTAAAATAATAATAAAACAGTTGTAAAGAATAACACAAAGTTGTGTTAAAGAGCACCACTGTTCCAGTGTTAGGGGAGGGTTCAGATGCTGTTGCTAGAGGAGCCTCCGTCATCAGGACTATGATTGTAGATGGCTCCTTTATCACACCTGGCTGGGAGGATGATGGCTCCACCAATGGCGCCTGCATAGATGTCACACACTGCTGTTTGGTCTGTTGTGTGACCTCCTCTGGTTTAGATGTAGATGCTGTAATATAAGCAAACAAAAATTTGTTCATTAAGACTGTATAAAATATCAAACAAGTATAACACAACATACACTGAGTAATACTGTCGATGCTAATATCAAGTAAAATATCACTTAAAACTTCTATTTGTGTCATTTAATGTAAAAACACAGGCTTCAGTCTTCAGGTGACTATAACAGCAGGTCTTGTACCTCAGTGTTATTGTTCACTTTGTCAGGATATTAGTTTGTGTATTTGATGCTAAATATGACTGAATGTTTAAGTGTTCGATCAAATGTGATGGTCATTACATTCATGTTAAAAGTCAGCTATGTTCCACAGTCGCATGACATTTCACGTGAAAACAAGCTTGGAGCCACAGAACTGTTTTCTTACCTTCAGGCCTGGTGGGAGCCTTCCTCACTCTCTTTCTCTTTCTCTTTTTGCCCTACACAAAACACAAAACAAACACATTAGACTTTCCACCTGGTCTCAGCTGATATAATCAACATTTTTTCACTGATGGTGTTTTATCACCTAATGAAGGAAATAAACATATGAACGGTGTGTGAGCCAGAGTGTACATACGTAATTGTCCCTGGAGGACCAGTCGGGGTGTTCCATTATGTGGAGCAGATTCTTCATGTGAGCTTCCTCATAATACTTGGACTGTTCCTCTTTGGACAGCGCCTTCCACTGTGGACACACAATAACACACTGTCAGCGCACACACCGACACACTACTACACACAACTACAGGCTCAAACACGAGCATATATAACATATTAACAGATACATGAAGATCCACATCAATGTGAGCAGGCTATGCAATGCACAGTGTATCTGTGCTCTGCAGAAATGCTAAAAATCCATTTTAATTATGATTTGTTCTGAATTGTTTTCAACAATAGAATGAAAATGTCTGATCCAAGTGTGAGGACTTTGAGTGTTAAGAACAAGTATAAGAGAAGAAAATCTTTTTGTCATTGTGATGAAGTTTGTGTGATACTGAGCGTCTGAGACACAAAGACCACACACACACTTACCTTCTGCCCCACAACAGCATTCACTTGTGCGCTGTTACTGTTGGGTAGCTCAGCCGCAACAATTGGTGCTTGTTTTTTCCTGAACACCATAAATGTGTTTGGCGGCTTTTTAAATTCTAGAGACACCAGAGAGGTTTACATTTCTTCAGATAAAATTGTTTTGACGTCTCTCACATATAAATCATACATGTACATCATACAACGAGTCTGATGGTTAGCTCAGAGGTGGAGTTAGTGCAGGATTGTTTCTAATGTTAATCTAATGTTTATCATGTGTAATAGCACATGATAAACTAATGAAGGACTGGCTGAACAGGTGTTTGATGGCAAGCTTACAGCATGACAGTTGTAAGTGAGTAAACATCCTGCCACACCCTGATAACTGCATCACTGCCTTCAGGATAGCTGAGATGATACTGTTGAAATTTACAGCATTCAGTGAGTTAACAGTACAAATATGGGATATGCTTTGAAAGTTAACAAACAAAATTAAATTCAAAATAACTTTAAACAGAACCAAGTCCAACATCTTGGACTGCGTGTATAATTTGCTCTGGCAATGTGCTCGTAATCCAAAGCACTCGTATATCAAAACGAATTTCCCCATAAGAAATAATGGAAACTCGGATGATTTGTTCCACACCCACTTATCCATATAAACATGATTACACTAATACAAAATACAGTATGAAGAAAAAATAAAACAAATTAAAAGTGTACGTGCTACTCCTATTACGAGACCTCGCTCGTATATCGAATCTAAATTTTTTTGCTCGTCTTGCAAAACACGGGTTACTCTGGATTGGTACCATGCACCAAACAATAGAGATGCCCCTTAGTATCCACAAACACAGAATTATTAATGAAAGCCAGAAACGTCTGACTGGAACCAGAAAACTTTCACTGTGTGCCACTCATGTGCAAAGGCCACACTGTAAGTCTCTGAAGGATCTGTCATGTATTTTTCTGCAGGTTCATCTGAGGTGGCAGATGCAGGGATTCTCCCACGTCCCCAGGCACAAATTCATTTCCAGCATTGTGAAGAGACTGATGAAGACTGAGCACTAACAGTTTTAATGAAACATATTGTTCAGATACTACTAAAGATGCAGGTCCATTTAGATCCATTGATTTGAGCTGATGCACCAGATTCAAATAACTTGTGTTTGTTTATTTCATCCGAGTCGAACCTCGGATTCAGGAGGAATGCGGTTTTCGTCCTGGCCGTGGAGCACTGGACCAGCTCTATACCCTCTTCAGGGTGGCGGAGGGTTCATGGGAGTTTGCCCAACCAGTCCACATGTGTTTCGTGGATCTGGAGAAGGCATTCGACCGTGTCCCTCGCAGCGCCCTGTGGGGGGTGCTCCGGGAGTACGGGGTCCGGGGCCCTTTGCTAAGGGCCGTCCGGTCCCTGTACGACCGGAGCAGGAGCTTGGTTCGCATCGCCGGCAGTAAGTCAGACTTGTTTCCAGTGCATGTTGGACTCCGGCAGGGCTGCCCTTTGTCACCGGTTCTGTTCATTATTTTTAT